AGTTACCTTCAATCACAGTATCCGCTTAGTCTTTCGCCTGCGGAACTCCCTTACATGGATTCACAACAGGGAGTATACGCTGACTGATTTTCATTTGAACATTAAGTTTACCTGCTATGTTTGGTTATTTGCGATCACGTATACCATTGGTAAAGGGGCGCAGAATCAAGCAGATGGAAAATGTCTCCGTTAATTAGAAATGCTTCGACAGTTGGTGTACAGAGCCAGCCAGAAATCAACCGAAAATAAAGCTGTCCCTAGCAAATTTAGAAAGAAAAGACTGCGACTAACCCAGTTACAGGCACCCTCGCGGTGAGGTACAGTAGGTGTGCTAACTCATGAAATGTTGACTGAAATTATGAAATACGTTGTCGTTTCGAAAAGATTACTTAAGTAGGGTTGTAAAATTAATCATCTTGCAGGATAATTCTATAATAATTCAGTTACCTCGGGATGCCGGCTTTCGAATGAATTTCATTCCGGCCGCATGCAAAAACCAGACTCTGCACAAAATGACCACTTCAGCAGCATGAAGTTTTCTCATTGATTTTCGATGTCCTCAAAAATTCAATTATAGTTCATAGAAACATGCATAAAGATATTCATTCTCTTACTCATTTGGTAGAGAATTACTCCTCTCAATTTTAAACTTGGAGAGAGGGTATATAGTTTGGTTCTCAAAAACTTTTCAATCTCCGGATAATTTTGAACACGACCTGCCGTTACACTTGCATTCAGGGTTCCCAAACCACAAGCCGTATATTCTCCGTGTACGAAAAACCATACATTTCTCTACGGTGTTAAGAGGAGGTCGTATGGAGTCCATGAAATTTAGCAGTAGGTTTAAGACACATGGCAAACTTAAGAAGCCACATTACTAAGAGACACGATATTTTATGAACGGACATTTCACGGTATTAAAAAAAGCTCACAACTGGAAACTTTTTTAAAACCGAATTATACCCGTTCCTCAAGTATCAAATTGAAAGAAGTAATTTTCTACCAAATGAGTAAAAAAAAACTGAATATATTTATGCATGTTTTCTATGAACTATAATTGGATTTTTAAGGACATCGAAAATCAATGAGAAAAATTCATGTTACTGAAGTGGTCATTTTGTGCAGAGTCTCGTCTTTGCATGCGACCGGAATGAAATTCATTCAAAAGCCGGCATCCCGAGGTAACTGAATTATTATAGAATTATGCTGCAAGATGATTAGTTCTACAACTACTTAAGTAATCTTTTCGAAACGACAATGTATTTCATAATTTTAGTCAACATTTCATGAGTTAGCACACCTACTGTAGGCCGTCAGAAACAGCCTTGCGTAAATAGCACGATCCACCATACTGAAGGCATAGGTACTAGCTAAGAACCCATAGACACGCGTTTCACCGCTGCATAACACGGTCTGAGTCTGTAAGTCTCAAACAGACTGATCTACTCCAAGTTAACGATTAAGTTATGATGAAATTAAAAAAATAGTCTTGTCAAATCTACAAACCCTCCCATCCTACATGCTTCTCCTTGAAACTATCGTCAGTTGTTTTGTTGCATCTTGAAGACATGGAATAGTAGATTATCAAGTAATTAACCGAACAAGGATACTAGGACTGAAGACGCGGAGAAAGAAGGTATTTTTATTCGACGAAGCAAGTATAGTGCCTGCGCAACAAAGGCAATGAATTGGAAAGACCTGAGAATACACGATCCACCTAAAGAAGTGAGTTCGCGTTTGTATACGCATATGTACAGCAAGAAGGCGGTAAAATGATGATAAGCGTGATGACGCAAAAAGACCCTCATGGAGGCATATGGCGACTAAAAGAAGAATCGACCAGACAGCTCGTGTTTTTTCAGCAGGTGGGTCCTGTCTGTCGGGGCACAAAAGCCCAGGCAGGCAGAGGAATTAAGGTTAATCGCCGAACGGAAACCTGGTGGAGGATTTTTATGCTCAGGCGGCAGACACAGGTGGGACTCTTCAGGAGAGTAACCAAAACGCTCAGTGGGCGGGACATAGGGGGGACCGTTGGAGGCCCGTTCAGCCAGGGTTCTGCCTATATGGCGGGCATGGGCTCGATGCTGAGCGTAGAACACTGAGGAGTATTTTTCATTGAGCTTCCCTATCGGCGAATCTTTGGCTCGTTCCTTCGCATAGGAGGGCAGCAGCCGGCGTCGCATACTGCGGTCCACGTATCTGCTTTCAAATATACAAAACTCCTTTGTGAAGGTGGGGAGAATATTCTGCTGGCTGGCGTTGGACATGTAGGGGTAGTCCTTGCTCCAGGGCTGATTGGAGCGTTCGTAGTCTGAGACCATCTTATCCAAGAGATAGGAACATTTGTGCACCGGACCAATGCCATCTTTGACCTCCATGCCTGGCGGCTTCCTCCCCCCCCCTTTTCCTCCAGCCAAGCCTCCCGCGCAGCTGGACGTGGCGCTTTTTGGCTTGCGCGGCAAAAATAAGGCGGGACCGATCGATCGGGTGGCTTGAAACGTGTGCGCGACGGCGGACGCGCGACCACATAAGAATGGGAAGGGCGGGGGGAGAGACGGGTTGCGGTCGCATACTCCGGTAGTTGGCATGTCACCAACCGTAACGGTTCATCCGTTTTACTGACCGATAGTCGCCCGGGATTTTGGTTAACTTAAAAGGACCCCTTCTGAACAAACACTTGGTTTGCCGCAAACTTAACCGTTGACTGGATATCTCATGCCTTGAAGAAGAGTGATAATAGTTAGTGTCTCTTTAAACATTTCACCGGATGGATGACATAGCCTACAGTCAAGACAGAAGGCTGGTATTTCATTCTATTGTTAGGAAGTAAAAATTTCAAGGAACTTTGAGTACGCTTGGATACAACTGTCAGAGCGTAGGCCTGCGACTTAGTAGTCCTCACTGGACTTCAAACCTATTGACTTGGGATCAAAGCTAAGGCCTTACCGGCCTGTGGATGAAGCACGAAAGACTGCTGGTACGAAATATGACAGAAATAGGCGTACTAGCCTCCCACGGTTTATGAATAAATTGACCTTGTTCAGAGGAAATAAAAAATCCCATAGATACCGACTGAGCCAGCGAGATCGGATCGCGGTCTTCTACAGAATGTAACATTCGAAGCACTACGAACAACCGGGCGACACCTCACCCAAGTTATGTGGACGACAATGGAAAGCCCATCCGGCCTAATTCGCCTGAATATATTGTATCAGAAATATGTTTGGTTAGACAGCAGTGTACAGATGGCTGGAGGATCTTCTCCCAAGCCATCAGGGAAGACGGCACCTGCCACGCACCCGTCTGTTAACTATCCAGCGCCACGAGTGGCAGTTTATGAGCCTGGTGGTCATCTGGTGGATTCCAGATGGGTTACTTGGGAAATGCTGCTGGGGCAGTCGGCTTACTGTATCAGATTTGGTGGATGACAGGCGTTTCAGTAGACTGGGCGGACAACCTGACCAAAGTGTGCCTAAGTTCACGGCCCTCAGTTGGCCATTGTAGCTCAGGTGGATAGAGCGTTGGCTGTACTTATGTCTTCCCCTTGATGTCGTGAATTCGAATCCCACCGAAGTTGCCGAGTTTTTCACAGCTGGGTCAAAATAAAAGGGGATTTAGCAACAATTTGCGAAATATGTAGATTTGGGTCTGGAACATAGGCAGTTACTGAAATGAGTAGTGGGAGTCGTAACAATTATTGGGTCTTCAGTGGAACGATCCAAATGACTGTGCCTACAAACTGAGCCCCAGCCCTTCAGGTCATAAAATTATAGGCACTGTGTGGTATGGCCACAGGAAACTCCGGAGAAGGTTGGCCAAGATTTAGAACGCGTTTCAGCCAATGGGGATAGCAGGCAGACTGTAAGGGATTTCGAAAACAGTTCAGTCGCACAATCCCTTGGCCTCAATGATCAGAGAGAATAAGGATGGTGTG